TTGATTTTACATTGTCCAAATTTCCGCTTTTCTGCAGGAAATCTCCCACTTATGTAGTCCACCATGAAAGGAGACTTTGTGTTTTTCAAAATAAAACATTTACAAAACTCGACATTTTTCGCTGATTTTCTCACGAACAAACCCGTGAGTGACTGAATCATAATTAACATGTTTCTGCACTGTCTATTTGGAATAATGTGCTGTTTTTGAGTATAGCAATGGAAATCAAAATATGTTTTTTTTAAAGCCAGATTGCCAGTTTTTTACAGACAAATAATTGATCTTAAAATAATCATTGGTTGTAGCCCTAGTGTCATTTAAAAACTGATTAAACACACACCCACACACACACACACACACACACACACACACACACACACACACACACACACACACACACACACACACACACACACACACGCACACACACTGTAGTTAGCAGTACAGCATATTGAAACGTGCCGAAATCATGTACATCCATTATTTTTGTTTCAGTACCAAATTAACTAAGAGTAGTAGCGTTACTCAAGCCGTTTGTAACTTTCAATTCCACAGAAAAGAAGGCGACTTTCACATACATCAGCCCCCGACCACACTGTCAAAGGTGACGTTGTTTTTCCAATAAGTGCAATTTCAGACGCCTTTTCAGCCATTTGCGTTTTTCAAGCGTCACTTTGAATTCGGAAAGCAAGCAAACACGAAGCCGTTGGGAGGCTGCCGGCGTGTTTGTTGCCGCCGACGTGTGAATGGTCACGGCGTGGACGCAGGGGCCAGGCGCGACTTTGCTTTGATATGCAACAACCACTTCAACATCAACAAAGGCGCACGTGTGGAGTCGAGACATTCAAGCGAGCCTTCAACGACGCTTTTCACAAAAGCCAACAATTTATAAATGGAGGTTATGATTTACAGCGTAAAGCAAAAGTCTACACACCCCTGTTGAAAAGGGATTTTTTTTTAAAAAGACATATAAAAGTCACAGTGCATTTGAAAACTCCATCGATGTGACCTATAACCTTGACAAGTCGATTGATCCCCAAAAAGTTACAAAGTTAAACAAATACTAAAGGAAAAAAAGTATCACAAAACAGTCAAAAGTGTTCCCTGCTTTTGTAAGTGTTAAATATAAATTAGGTCCAAATATCAGTTTAACCACTGAATTGGTTATTGGAATTGGAATTTGGGCGGCACGGTACGCGACTGATCACCACGTCCGCCTCACTGATCATCACTCATAGTGAAGAGGTCCGGGGTTTGATTCCGGCTCTCCTTACCCACATGCGAGGGCATCAGTACTATGACCGCCATTATTTTTTTTCCACTTTACTCAAGCTCGTCTTCACGGAGATGTGCTCGACCCCATTTTGTCACGCACACACTTTCACTTGTGGCTCTGCGTTCCCATCGACACGCTGGCACAGAAGACGGGGGCGGGGTCTTTTCGGGGGGAGCTTTCTTTCAAACTGTATGAAGACAACAGCAAACACAGCTGGTAAGGTTTTCCCCCAAACAAGATGGCCCATCGTCATGGGGGAGGGATGACAAGTTTTCATGCAGGGGGTAGGGCGAAGGTAGTGAGGGTTGAAGGCGCCCGGGGTGGTTGGGGGTTTAATGACTTTTACAGCCATCTCGGTGGAGGAGGAGGTGGAAGAAGAGCAGGGCGGGGGTTGGGGGGGGGGCAAATCCAGACAGTGGCTCACAGCAGTGACACAATCATTGCAAATTTGATTCACCAACTTGAAAGACGAACCCGAGGTTAAAACCCTACTTTTAAAACCTAACCCTCGTTTAAAACTCCACTTTTAAACCTAATTGTGGTTCCTTTGAAAGCCTAAACCTAAATGTAAACCCCACTTTGAAAGCTATTTGGAAACTCAAATTGAAAAACCTAACCTTAGTTTGAAAGCCCAAGCCTAGTTTTTAATCCTACTTTGATAAGATAAGATAAGAAAACCTTTATTAGTCTCGCAATGGAGAAATTGAAACCCTAAACCTAGTTGAAAGCTGGAGTGTGAAACTCTAATCCTAGTTTTAAGACCATACTTGAAACCTTAACCCTGGTTAGAAACTCAAATATAGCACAATAACCCTGGTTGGAAACCCTAACCCTAGTTTGAACCCCTAATTTGGAGCCCCAACCCTAATTTCAAACCTTACTTTGAAACCCTAATCCGAATTTGAAACCCTGTTTCAAAACCTCAACCCTAGTTTCAAACCTTAGTTTGAAATCATAACCCAAATCTGAAACTGTTTTAAAACCCCAACCTGAGTTTAAATTCCTACTTTGAAACCATAACACTTGTTTAAAACCCTAACCCTATTTGAAAACCCTCCTTTGAAACCCAAACCCTTGTTTGAAACTCAAATTTAGAACCTAAACCATAGTTGGAAACTCGAATTTAGAACCCTAACCCTAGTTTGAACCCTACCTTGAAATTGTAACGCTATTTTAAAACCCTACTTTGAAACCCAAACCCGAGTTGGAAATTCAAATTTAGAACACTAATCCTAGTTTAAAACCCTACTTAGAAACCCTGACACAGGTTTAAACCCATACTTTGAAACCTTAACCCTATTTTGAAACCATAGCTGAGTTTAAAACCTTACTTTAAAAGCATAACCGTAGTTTAAAACCTTAATTTGAAACCCTAACCTAGTTTAAAAATCTAATTTAGAACCCTAACTTTAGATTTAAAACCTACTTTAAACCCGAAATAGTTTAAAGCTGGACTGTGAAACCCTAACCCTAGTGTTAAAACTTTACTTGAAACCCTAACCCCAGTTAGAAACTCAAATATAAAACCCTAACTCAAATTTGAAACCCTGTTTTAAAACCCCAACTCTAGTTTAAAACCCTACTTTGGAACTCTAACCTTAGTTTCAAACCTTATTTTAAAACCCCAACACTAATTGAAAACCATCCTTTGAAACCCTAACCCATGTCTAAAATCCTAATTTAAAAGCCTTTCCCACTCTTGGAACCTTAACCTTTTTTTTAAATCCCTAATTTAAAACCTCAACCCTGTCTTAAAGCCCTAACCTTGGCTTGAAACGTCACTTCGAAACCCGAGCCATGGCTTCTTGTTTTCATTCAGGTGAGTTTCACTTGTTTGATGACGCGAGCAAGTGGAAAGGCGGCGGCCGTCAGTTGGCGGTGAGTGTGAGCAATTTGCTCATTCATTCAGTCCTTGCCCGCTCAGATGAGAGGTGAAACGGCGCCGTCCGTTCAACGGATGCAAATGAGGGGCAGCACCTGACGGGCAAAGTGGGGAACTTCGGAGGCAGCAAAATTCCCCTCTCATGTCACTCTTATTTTCAAGAGACGAATCAAGACGGCTCACTTTCAGCATTTGATCAAAACAACCAAAAAAAAAGAAGAAACCACCTCCCCCCAACAAACAAAAAATAAATCAAACAGCCAACTTTGTTTGTTAGTTTTGTTCAAAGTGTGTTTTCAAAGGTCAAAGTCTGCCCCCATGTTCAAAGTGTGTTTGTGGTGTTTTGCTGACTCCGAGTTATCAGTGACCGCCTGCAAAAAAGACCCCTCCCCCCCTTTTTTTACAGCATTTGATCCGTTCACTTGCTTGTTATCTTAACACACCTGACGCTCACCTTGACCTACATTACAACGCAGGCAAACATGTCCATAGCGACACGTTTGCACAACACGATTGTCATGGCAGCAGGCGGGACCTTCACTCCACCCCCAACCTGAGACAAAGCTGGCAAATCTTACGCGTGAGTTTTTTTATGTGCAACTGAGAGAGGAAAAAGGTAACGAGCGCTGATTGAATTGATGGGGAACATTTTAACGATGATAGTTTTCCTCTCCAGAAATCTTTTGTCCTGCGCACTTCATGAACAAGCTTACAGTGAACAGATTTTGCTGTACTACTGTCAAGAAGGTGCGTTATGTCAAATAAATAAATAAAACCACAAAAGTATGCTTGAAATAGTTTTAGCCCAAAGTATTACTCAAAAGATGCTAGGCCAAGTTTACTTTTTGACCTTTTTTACGATGACATCATTCTAAAATAAGTCAGGATGTGATGGAAATGAAATCTTTTTAAGCCAAATTTTCACCAAATAAGGTCGTCATAGTGAAAATGTTTTGACCTTTTTGAGAATCGTCAAACATGTTGCAGTCAAGCGTTACCTCCACAATAAATGGATTAAAAAAAAAATCCAAAATTGTGAGACTCGAGTGAAAAATAGGGGAATCGAGTCTTCATTTTATGATGAACGGATCAAAATGTAGAATAAAGTTAAAATTCTATCGCGATAAATTTTCAAAACTAGGTGAAAAAACATCGAGAATCACGAGCCCATTTTATGACGAAAAACCTGAAGGGTGGGCGGGGGTAATAAAACAAAAAAAGTCAAAATGTGACAAAAAAAAAAGGCAGAAGAATGTCATTTTGCAAGACTTTTTTAAAAAATGAGAACAAAGGCGAAACACTACAAAAAATTGCAATGTGGTACCACAAAACATGACGGCCTTAAGTCATAAGTCAACTCGTTTTACGTCAACGTGTAATAATAAAATCTTTAAAAAAATAAAAAAATCTGGGTACACCACAACAGCCTTACTTTTGAGAATTCCTTTATCATATTCATACATTCCTGAGGGAAAAAAATGCACAATACAATTTAAAAAAAATAATAATCATATTTGTGTGTAGACACTCCAAGCGGACATTTCCCCAACTCTCGTTCTTGAATTTCATGAATATTAAAAAAAAAAAAAAAAGTGCTGGTGAAAAAAAAAAAGAACATCTTTCAATACTCAAAAAATTCAAAACGGAAAAACAAACCCCCAGAGGGAGGGGGAAAAAAACCCCTAAAATAATTTAGGATAGAACAACAAAATGTACATAAAAAAAGCCCAAAATCTGTACAGTATTTTAGACACCGACAATGAGGAGGAGCTCGACACGGGCTGGGAAGGGGTTGAGGCGGAGGTAGCTTTTCAAACTCATCCCTGCCGTCCTTTTTTTTTTCTTTTTCTCCAACGACTAACTTCATGGGAAGATGACGCTGCTGTAGTCCCGACCAAAAGTCGTCCTGCGCATTGAGGATGCGCCAATCAACCAGAGAGGGCAAAAGCTGCTACTTCCTGTTGCTGCAACAGGTCACCAACACCCAGACAAAGGGGCAGGTGGGGGGCGGGCGGCGGGGCAGTGGTCCTGGCAACATCTCAGCGAGCAGAACGTGCCGTTTCAACAAAGATGATGGAAGCTTGAGCATCAGTGTTGTTGTCAGAAAGCCCTCCCCCCCCCAAAAAAAAAAATCAAAAACTTTGGTGACGTTATGGCACTGGTGTCAAACTTGAGGCCACGGGGCCCCACCCAAACAAAAAGTACCGACATATGGCTTTCTTTCTTCAAAATTGCCATTTTTTTAGAAGATTTGTGGCAAAACGGTTATTTTTCAACACTTTAACAGATAGCACAAGCATTTTTTCGCTCCACCATATACGGTACGTTCTTAACAAATTGAAAAATTGTTGTACAGTGGACCCCCCCCCAAATTTATTATATTACAATGGTTTGATAAAAAATGAATAAAACGGTGATCGTCTTAACAAAAAAAGTGAGCATGCTCAGGTAAAAAAAAAAAAAAAAAAAAAAGGGATGCAAAGAATAGGAGCATGGGGTAAGAATGCAAACGAGAGGGGGATTTTGCGAATAACAAATGGTGCCTTTGCATTTACCAAACGGCGACTATGTGGGTCCACTGTGAACTTCCCAGATTTGGCTGTTGTCACTATTTCCCCACTCTGAAACATTGATCAATCAAAAATGAGTTTGACATACTCAAAAGGCATCAGATGCTGATTTAAAACTACAACAACAAAAAACACATTAAAAAGGAAGAAGTTCTGGGAACCTGCAAAAAGACCTAAAGGCCATCAAAATGCCGATCGGCGGAGGGATTGCTGGTTGCTATGGCTACAAGACATCCTGAATACACAACTCGCAACAAGCACGCAATTTTGGCCTTTACAGCTGAAAGTTTAGGATGAAGACAAAATGGGAAATGGGAGGGGGGCGGGGGGTAGAAGCCCCCACCTCCCTCCCCTTTGCACCCAACAGTATTTTCTCCGCCTTTCTGTGACCCCCCCAGCCTCACTCTTTTTATTTTGCTTCACTCTGACATCTCACGGCCAAAATTGCGACTTTTTGTGAGTCGTGCATGTTCAAGTTTCATCAACAAGAACTGACCTCGCTTGCGTGTGCGTGTATTCAAACAGTCAGCAGTCAAGGCATCGCAATGTGTGTGTGTGTGTGTGTGTGTGTGTGTGTATATATGTGCGTGCGTGTGTGTGTGTGTGTGTGTGTGTGTGTGTGTGCGAGCGCCCGTGAGCATAAAGTCTACTGAGAAGTCCATCTTTGTGCGTACTTGTCAAAACGTCCTCCTGGTTCCTGAAAGCAAAATGTCATTTCTTTTGTACCAAAAAAAAAAAAATCTCTCCTTGCCTTTTTGTGTTTTTTTTTTTCTCTTTTCACGAGCGTGCAGGCGTCCGCAGGTGCTGCAGTCGCGCTTTGAGCTCCCCCTGCTTGGCGCGCAATTTGTCCCGGCGGACCTGCAGCCGGCTGGCGGCGTCCTCCAGGCCGTGGATGCAGTCTCGGGCCTTTTTCAGGATGACCACCTTGGACGCCTTGTCGTTGCGCGACAGCTCGGGGATGTTGTCGCGGAGGCGCATGAAGCAGTTCTTCAGCTCGTTGCGCCGCTGCCGCTCCATCACGTTGTGTGTGCGCCGCCGCTCCTCCTCGTCCTCCGTCTCGGCCGGGTGCCGCCACGACGCTTGCTGGTGGCGAGCGGACGACGAGGACCAGGCGTGATGGGCGCCGCCGCGGGAGCGCTTGGTGGACGAGGAAGGAGGCGGGGAGGCCGGGCGCGGCGCGGCGTAGTTATGCTGCAGCTGGATCTCAAAGTGGTGGCGCCGGAGAGCGCGACGCTCCTCATCTTCGTCTTCGTCGCACCGCTTCTGCCGGCAGGAAGACGGCGGGCTGGAGGGGCAGCGCCCCACCGTCACCACGTCGATCTCTTCCTCTGTCAGACCACAAGCGCAGACTATTAGCGCACCATTTCGGCGTGACCGACTGCAAGCGGGGCGAGTGGCCCAGAAATGTGTTGTATTATCACACACACACACATATATATATATATATATATATATATATATATACACACACACACACACACACACACACACACACACACACACACACACACGTACATATATCCACATACACACCATACATTTGCAGTAGCTTTGAGGTAAAAACTAGTTTTGTCTTCATTTTATTGTTTTACATCTGTACTTTTTAAAATTAAGTTAATTAAAACATTTAAAAACAATGGCATGAATCAAAATGATTTAAAAAGTATTATTTTAGGACCCCCCCCCCATGCATAGTCATGAGTCAAATGGATATCGAACAAAACAGTTCACCACTTCCTGTGTGGTTAACGGTCAGCAATGCCAAGACTGCATGAGTCATTACGCGCATGCATGTACGAGCGCGCACACATACGCGCGTGCACACAGAGCTGTCAGTGAGCAAGCAAGACCCCGCCCACACCGCCTTTTAAAAAAAACAATTATGCTGGCAAGCGCGCACGTGTGTGTGTGTGTGCGCGCGCAGACTTGAAAGAGTTGAGAGAGACGTTTGGTCTCACCGGAGTCGCTGGACGAGTACACGGACACGTCGCCTCCGGCGGAATAGTAGTCGGACGTGGCCTCGGCCGTCTCGCGGCCCTCCATCAGGTTCTGGCAGTCCAGCGTGGAGCCGGCGAGCCCCTCGAAGATGCTGGTGTCCATGTCAGACAGGAGCGGGCTGGAGCCCAGGACGGACGGCGCCAGCTTCTCCACCGGGCTCTTGTCCGACGCCAGGCAGCGCCACAGGCCGTCCTCGTCGCTTTCCTCCTCCAACGCGGGGGAGCCGGGCCGCCCCCCTCCCCCTCCGTCGCTCCCGCCGCCACCCTCCTTGTCATGGATGAAGTTCCAGTTCCAGTTGAGGTGCATGTCGTAGTCCTCCAGCAGGATGTCCGACACGTAGCTCAGCTGGTCGCCGCTGGAGAGGGGCTTGGCCCCACCGGTGGCGCCTGCCTTCATGGGGGGTGACTGTGGGGGAGTGGGCAGTGACTGGAGGTCCTTCATCAATATTTGGCAGAACTCTTCATCGAAAAGCAGTGGCTCTGAATAGAGCCAGTCCTGTGACTGGGCAAAGCTTTGCAACATCTTCCAACTGCAGACAAAAGAAAAAAGAAAAATCACGGTTACAATCTTCAAATCCAGACAAGCAGGTTACTCCCAGAGTGAAAGTGAACTCGCCCAATAAAAGTGAGTTCCACTCTAAGTGGGCTGCCTTTTATCCATGTTTACATCACTGGGGCTCCACCCACTCCTTTCAAGGCTGCTAAACCCCGAAAAAAAAAGCCCACACCCTTTTCGCCCCACGTCACTGCAACAGCTGGAGGAGATGTGCAAAGGGGGGAGGGGGGGTCAACAGCAACACCTCCTTTGTACAATTTCCAAATAATAGCTTCAAGGAGGTTAACAAATCACAACTCTCACTTTACACAGTACAAACACGCGTGATGTAGAGGACACAGACGCACTGAAGCCACCGGCGTGCGTCTGCAGGGCGTGGAGGTCATAGTCACAGTCACATACTGCGTGGATGTGTTGCATGCTCGCCGTGGACAACAAAGCCATACCGTTTGCTGCATGCATTTTACACACAAACACACACCCACACAGTATGGATAAGCATCCGGGCGAATGGAGGTTAGGGAATTCTTTTAACGCCCTTGTGCGCGCAGGGTGGAAACAGACTCCACGCGTGGAATTCCTTTTTTTTTTCCAGTTTCAACAAAAACACACCCACGCCGATTTACCCTCCAAGACGTACCACGAAGACATACCACGCATATTTAGCACAGAGTGAGGCAGTTTCTGAGCAATGAAAAAGCTCGTGAAAAACATGCGCATTTCCTAATGGGGGTTCGGCTCCTCCGCAGTAAGCTAACGAACGCCCTAGTGCAGCGTCAAATGAGAGCCACGTGTGCGAGTCTTGAGCAATTTAAAAGAGTTTTTACCACAAACATTGACGCCGAATTTCTTTCACACACATTATACAAACAAGGACGGTGAAAAAAATGCCCAAAATAGTGTGGTTTTTGAGACACCGAGTAGCTTGTGAAAATGTGCGCATTTCCAAATGACGGTTTTGGTTACCGACGACACCCAGCGGCGTCTTTACGCGACGCATCTCTGAAAGCAACCCGGTGACTGCAACCATTTAAAAGCCACGCTCGGCACACGCCGAAGCGTGGGAACTCTACCTCCGCAGCTTTTCCCTCGAGCTATGGCGGTTGTCGTCGGTTACACTTCAAGCCTAGTCGTCATAAAGACACGAAAGAGGCGTTCTTACCGGCAGTTGGGATTTCAAAGAAAATGTTGGATTTGAACTAAGTGGAAGAACCACATCCACGGAGGTCAAAGTCCACCCACGTAAAGCAAGTAGCCGACGGGGACGACGACTCCTTAGCGGCGAAGAGAAACTGCTGTCTTGTTAAGTTGGACGGCAAACAGGGCAGCATGGTGTGCCGTGACCTTTTTCGGTCGACCGGCTGGATGCGAGCACACTGAGTGGGTGTGGCCGGCGCGGCAGCAGAGTTTTTATCGGCGCGGCTCGCCGGTGTCCCTCCGCGATAAAAAAAACGCGCCAAAACGTCACCTAATGCGTACCGGCCCGGGACCGATTTTTGAATCATTGATGTGAATCGGCCTTTACATCGGTTCCGGACGGGAAATTGGCGGTTGGAGGCGGCACCGTGAAATCTCTTGCGCGAAGGGGGTCTAGATCACCATTCCGGCGTAGGGATACTGGCGCAAGCTGTGATTCAAGGAAAAGGATGGCGGTAAAGTGAGCACATTCACACACGTGGACCGACTTGAGAAGCCGGCTGTCTGTCTGCCTGTCTGCCTCCCTGCCTGTCTGTCTCTTTAATCGTTGTTTAAAGTGGCAGTACTTGAATCCTAATTGCGACACTGCATGGAAATATTCAAAGTACATTTGACTTAAAAAAATAAATAAATAAATAAATAAATAAATAAATAAATAAAGGATTGTTTTTATTTTCAATTGGAAAAAGTTACAAATGTCATAGGTTTCAAAAATATTTCTGTATATTAAAAACTAAACTCTAAAATGAAAATGTCTGTAACGTATCACACAAAGTACATTTAATATGTGTGTGTGTGTGTGGGAGTGTGTGTGTACACTGTATATATGTGCATATATATATATATATATATATATGGTATATACAGTAAACTTCCTTATAGTCAGTGTGAAATCTGGTCCTGTTTATTTGAGCACCACTTGCAGGTATTGAAAAAAACCACACACACAGATATTAATCATTTTTCTCTTTGGGGTGACAGGTGAGCTGCAAGCCCATCCCAGTGAGCTACACTCTGGACTGGTCGCCAGCCAAGCAAACATTCACACTCATAATCACATTTATGGCCAATTTAGAGTCTTCAATTTAGAGTCTTGCTACATTGGCTTTGTCATTTGTCAATGAACTGATCAAAACTGTAATTCAATGACCACTTTTATCGGAGTATTACACTAGGTTAGAAGTCAAAGTAGGTTGCACGATTTTGTCCAAAATGATGATGACGATTATTAAATCACAATTATTCATCATGTTAGGGAAAAGATTTATTTTGACTGCACTTCATTCCAACATACAACGTGTGTCAACAGTTTTCAGTGCAAAATGAAAGTTTAATCTTCATCTGTTGTCATTTTAGAATATTTTTTTGTGGGGGAAAAATAAAATGTATCCAAGAATGTGAGAAAGTGCTTGATAAGATGCCAGCCACATTTTATTCTCATTCACTGCCATCCCTCCGAGCGAGTTTGCATTTTGGGACGTCTGCAGTCGTCAATGGCAGCGAATGTTAAACGAACAGACAGTATCACAATCAGGGGTGATTTAATCGGACCAGACAAAATTGCGACCGTGTTGCAAGTCAATTAATTGTGTAGTCCTACATCAACTTACAAAGTAGTCTTTTTCTTGACTTTTATTCAATCATTGCACCGTCTCTTGAACTCTTTGTCATTCCTGACGAGCACCTGTTCAAATTATTAGTATTATTTTTTTTTTTGGGGTGATGTGACTTTATTCTGGTTCCGTCCTCCTGAATGACTGAAAATAAGTCCACCTTTGTCCTGATTTTCTCCACTTTGCTCTACTTTTTTCTCTCTCTCTCCGCAGTGCCCCGCAGCAACACGTTACAGCAGCATGGGATGTGTGAAAGAGGTGAAGTGTGTCCGAGTTGGCATGGATCAAGCTCGCGGACCGCAGCCCTCCTTCTTGGTCCTCTTCCTCCGCCTCCTTACATAACTGATGGGGTTGGGGGCGGGGCTAGGGGGGTGTGGTGTGGGGGGGGGGAACTCTGTCGTACACGTGTGGCCCGTCCAGCCAATCGGGGCTGGCGCGGCACAGCGGCACGTGAGTACTCGGCATGCTCCGAGGAATGCTGCAAGGAGGCGCCAAGGCTTCCGTTTCCAGTAGCTGAGACCCTAAATACTGTATACTCAAATACATATTTTGACTTTTGCTGCACAGAAACACATCTCCAAACTAACATGTAAAAAAAAAAAAAAGTAAAACCCTGTTATGGGTAAAAAACATGAATAAATAATGCTTTTTTTTTTAGTAGGAAAAATAATTATTAACATCAAACATTCAGTGTATTATAAGATTGTCCTGTATTCCTTTTTTTAGGAAATAGATCATTAAAAAAATAAAAAATAAGGACAAATAAAAGTTGTGCATGTTTTCCCGCATGCAAAATTATTTGATTTAATGTAAAAAAAAAAAAATCATGATAATTTATATTTAGTTATAATTTAAAGTTATTTCAAGTACATGTGGCCAGTTTTCTATTTGCTGGGGTTGCCTCATATAAAATTGCTTTTCTTCTTCATTTGTTATCATGGAGCTTATTTTTAAAGATGATTTATGTTAGTTGAAATGTAACTTCATCTTTTAAAAAAAAATTTAGTTTCTTCAGTTTTATTTCAAGATACATTTATCTGAATGTATTTTTAACATTGACGTTTAGTTAGAACTGTATGTCATTTGATTGCTATTAAAATCAAAGACACTGCCCGTTGTGTTTCATCTTCTAATTTTAATATGATGCATTCCGAAGAGTGTTGAGTTATACTTGGTATTTTTACTATACATTTTTCAAATAAAAGACTTTTTTATTTTTTAAAAGATGCTTTTAAACTTTGCATGTGTGTCCTCGCCCGCACACAACGTGCTCATTTCATCGTGTACTCCATGCGTGTGCTTTGTGTGTTGCATGCAAAGCTCACAACAGACATAATCGGAGAAGATAAGTATATCGACGCCGTAATTGCAGCCTTGCAGGGAGTCTGGCGCATGGAAGCTAATTCTGAAGGGGTTGCAAAAGCATTTTTTACATCTCCCTAAATGGCAGCAAATTGCAACGTGATCATTCCAATTAAAGATGGTGCTCCAGATTTGTGATGTGGGAGGGGCTTACAGAAGAGGGGGCGGGGGGACGGGGCATTCTGGAACACAAAGAAGGGAGGCGTCCCAGTGCAGAAGTGGGTTAATGTGCCACCTACAGGACAATGGCAGATTGACTGAGTGGCTTGCTGATTCATTCATTCGGGGACAGCTGCCGTAATGCGCCGGCTTGTTCCGAGTCAGTTGCGCCTCCGATGAATCTGCGCTCACACATGAAATCCATTTGCTTTCGACTCAACATAACTCCGCATGACACAACGCGTCCTTTGTTCACGACAGATTGTGCTGGGAGGTCACCGAGTTTAAGTACAAGACTGGGTTGACCCTAGACTTGGGGTAAGGGTTAGAATTTGCAGTTCGTGCTCCAGGTGGAGTTAAAATTCAGTTCGTTGTCGTTGGTGCCGGAGGTCGCTTACAATGATTAGGGGGTTAAGGGTCAGATCCATGTCATTTTAGGTTGTTTTGACATGGGTTAGCGTTCAAGTCCCTGTAAAGTGAAAAGAAATGTCTTCAAAAGTTGACCCAGCCCCATCAAGTGTTAACAAGCCTGCAAAATTTGAATGACCCCCCCCCCACCCCCAAAAAAGAAATGAGGTGCCTGCCCCGTGCCACGCAGGAACGCCTAGCTCACCGGTCCGCTAAATTGGCAAAACACGCACGAAGAACCTTACGTTTGCATTACCACCAAAATCTGACGGCATTCGCGCTTCGCCGCAGATGTGCTGTCAACGAAAATAAAGCCCATTATCTGTAAAATTCTGAACTACATTATTAACTGCCAGTCCCTGCACATATTTTCTGCAATTATCTTCAAACATCTGGAATGTATTTTGAAAAAAAAAAAAATCTCAGGCTTTCTGTTATCAGATTTTTAACGCTGGGGTTTTGGCCGTGGTGTGAGGGAGCGTGAGGGGTTCGTCTTCGACCCAGATCATAAACAGCAGAGTTGAGGTCAGATTCAGAGTTAGTTTTGGGGTCAGAGATGTGGTTAGGGTTACACCCAGGTCATAAATCTTTATTATTGGGGTCAGGTTTTGGGTTGGCATTCTTAGTTAGGCAAAGGGGCGTGGCTCCGCCCACGTCGTCCGAATGCGGAGCTGGCAAAGTCACAGGTCAGCTTTCTTTTTTTTTTCTTCCTTGTTTAAAACACAGTCTGTGTTACGGTCAGGATGAATTCGTTAGGATCGGGTTTGGACCCAGTTCACAGTAGGTCGGATTAAGTTTAGAGTGAGTACCAGGTAATGGTCGGTCCAGCTTCATCCTTCACTCACATTACAGATCCCATTGAAGGAGTTCCGGGAACTGGCCTGATGAACTCTGTGTAACAGGACACAGAAGTGAGTAGGGTGGGATTACAGCCATAAAGCATGTATGTATGTATGTATGTATGTCGAACCGGTGGCTTTCCTCTGCCTTGTGTTCATATATGATTCCACTGGAGTCAATTTGGGTCACCGAATGTTTTTTTTTTTTAATTTTCCGACCCCTGTGCATAAAATGACAAGAGACTGGTGATTTACTCAGACGGTCTCGCTGGCTTTCCTGGGATCCTAAACAATATAAATAGTTTGCGTGCTAGTCGACGTTAGCAACATTAGCTTAATCCGACAAAGGACAGCGGTTTCAAACGTCACCCGGTGAGTGCAACCCTTGCCCCAAATCACCCAGGCGATCTTCCTGCAAACCATTCGTAACCATAGCGCCACACATCTGCCGTAACGCGGAGTTTTACGTGTGACGTCACCACGCAATCACTCTCCACAGTACGCACAGCAGCACGTCATAAATGCGCGCAAACAATGACAAAATAAAAGAAAATATACGTGAAACCACGGCAGCATTATTTGAAGTGTTTTGGTGATATGAACAGTGTTTTGTAACCTGTTACGTCTGCATATGTGCGACCGTTACTCGGGCCAACGGTGATCTCGACCTTATTAGGATTTTCCCGTCTGCCTGCTTCATGCTTTAATTAGACCGCAGGCTCGCACTTGGCTCGCGAGCAGAAACTTAAGAGCAGGAGAATGACTGGTCAACTACGCCAGTGGGAATAGATGGACTTCAATTGAATGAAAAGGAGGCTAGTTTTTGGCTAGCGGATGGAGTTCGGATTAAAGTTAAAGGATAGTTCACGTGTGAGTTTATGGTGACAGTCCAAAGTGGTTCTATTTCATCTGGTCCAATGATCAACTCTCACTGTTGGCAAGCTTCAGTGGAAGAAAAAGCAAACATTTCCTGAGAGTTTTCCTTGAAATTCTCAGCACATTCCAACTTGTTTGACCACCAATCTGTTCACGATTCAGATATTTGCCCCACTTCGCACTACAGTAAATCCAAGCCGACA